CCTGATGCGGCGGCGAGGTGAGGAGCCCCTGCCGGAAGAGATCGTACGCTGGAGGAAGGAAGGTCGCGACGATCTCTTCCGGCGATGGCAAGAGAGGTTGGCGGACGCCTCGGTGAGCAGACGGCTCGTCGAGGCCGTCCGCCCCGTCCTGCGCCAGTGGGTGGAGGCGAGGCACCGGGAACCGACTTACTTCCTGACGCAGCTTCTCACAGGGCACGGCTGTTTCAGCCGTTACCTGTGTGAAGTTGTGGGGATTGAGTCGGGTCCCGAGTGCCACCATTGCGCGTCCGGCGACGTGGACACGGCAGAGCATACGCTCGCCGTGTGCACGGGCTGGGACGCGCAACGCGCCACGCTCACTGGCGCAATAGGGCGAGATCTGTCGCTGCCGGCCGTCATACGTGCGATGGTCGGCAGCGAGCAGAGCTGGGCCGCCGTCGCCTCCTTCGCACGCGAGGTGATGGCGGCCAAAAGAGAGGCCCTGCGGGAGCGCGAACGCGCCAACGAGACGCTGCCGCCCCGCAGGGCTCCAGCGAGGGGCCGACGGCGTGCGAGGTACGCGGCGGCCCTACAACCAAATTGAAGAGTGCCACGCGCGACGGGTCGGGGGACCTGTCGCGCCGATTGTGGCGGATGGCCCTCCTCTCGTGTTCTGAGGAGGGTTTCATCATAGGGTGATGGGAGGGGTCTAAGATATGACCCCTCCCTACACGAGTCGAGCCCCTACCAAGGGGCTCCCTCCTAGCCGGGCCGTGGATAAACTAACGTAGATGCCACGGTCCGGTTGGACGTAGGAGAACACCGCGGGGTTTAGTGGGTAGTCCGGTCTTGTTCCCAGGCCGGGAGTCCCACACGAAACCGTCCCTGCTGCCCCCGCAGCACGGACGGCGAAGTGCATAAACGCATTCCCCGCGTTAACAAAAAAAAAAAAATGAAATAAGTATCATTGTAAACAAAAATTTAGAGACGAGTGGTTAAAAGACTATAGTTTCAAAACTTGGCTGAAATGTGACGCAAAAGACCCGTATCGTGCAGTTTGTGTTATGTGTGATGCAAAATTGATAGCTGACACAGCACCAGTTGCGTTAACTTCAAACAGTGAAGAAAAAACTTACAGCGCCATCTTTTATGGAGTAGCGGAGACAACATCAACGGTCATAGTGAAATTAATATTTTAAACAAGGATTGGTACATATGGTAAGTAAATTGTAAATTCAACGCATATACAAAAGTTATGTTATTCCTGCAATTCGAAATAATTTAATTAATTAATGTGTGTGTTTAATTCTTCTTTCTACTTGTTTTGCTTATTTCTCTAATCAGTATAGTTATACCTACTACTATTAGTTTAATGTGGTTAATTTTAACTTGCGGTACATTTGCGAGAATTTAACGCTTTAACGATTAACAGTTACCTTTGAAATTAATTGACCACCTATGTCTTCGGCCTTCTGCCTTCTTTATAAGGAGGGGTGTGAGGAAGTCGATATAGACTAGCTACAACTCAGGCACAACAAGGGACTGCTGTTTCAGGCCCAGGTGCTTTATTCTGGGTCCGTAGCTCAAAACTGAGGAATGTTACACACATGTGTGATTGTTCATTTTGGCCAAGATATCTCTATGACCAAAGAAAACATACCAAAGACTTAACCTACAAATAAATAAAACAACAACACACAGAGTACTCTTATAGAGTTTATTAATTTGTTCTTTGAACATGAAATTTTACGTCACAAACATTGGCACCTTGTGTCTTGTTCATTATATTTTTAAAGGTATATTAAATACTTTATTTAAGCAACTTTTCTCTAAAATATATTTTTATTTTATTTGATTAGGTACTGTAGTCGGGAATCACAAAGTAATAGGGGAATGTCGAAGAGGCCGAGCGACCGTACCGGAGCCGGACCAGGGCCGGACGAGGGCCGGACCAGGGCTAGACCAGGGCCGGACCAGGGCTAGACCAGGGCCGGACACTGCGCGGCCCGCACGCACACAGGCGCCCACAACATCATCTCTCACATACAATATAACCTAAGTTGTACTTTTATTACCTAAAAATAAATTAACTCTCTCGTCAATACTTCATCTATCACAAACAGATGTTATATGAGTCAAGTCCGGGTTCCGGTTCTATCATATAACGTCTTAAAGAGACAAAGACGAGCTAACGACGTAAACTAACCAATTTTACACAATAATATAAATATAGTTAACACCTAACATCACAACAGGAGGAACGACGTACGTTCCGAAACTAATACAGAAGGAAAAATAATGTTTCGCAAACTCGGTCCGCGTGGGCGTGTGCGGCGGAGGAGGCGGAGGATGCGGAGGCGAGCGGAGGAGGCGGAGGTGGCGGAGGCGAGCGGAGGCGCGTCACGGGAGCGGCGGCGGCTTGTCGGGCGGCGCGCGGCCGTCCGCGGCCAGCAGACGATCCAGCTCCTCGTCCTCGTAGAAGACGACGAAGTGCTCCGGCTTGGCGACCGCCTCGAAGATGGAGCACACGGAGGGCTTGACGTTGTAGAAGTAGAGCGGCTGGCGGCGCGCGTGGAAGTCGGCGGTGAGCTGCTCGATGCTCTTGGCGGCCGTGTAGTCGGCGCTGTAGATGTGCGTGCACTCGAGCACCACGGGCACGGCGCCGTCCGCCGCGCACTTGTTCACCAGCCGGCGCACGTACTCCACGGAGGGGAACATCAGGCACCGGTCGGGCGTGATCATCAGGTACTCCACGCCGCCCTCCGTCTGCAAGGTGACACGAGCGACGTGTTGATCACTGGAGTAGTGCAGAATCCGGTGCGAGTGGTGGTGGTCAGGGAGGAGGCGTACCTTGAGCAGCTCCACGGAGAGCTTGGGCCGCGCGGCGTGGTACAGAATGAAGATGATGTTGACCACGACGCCGGTCAGGATGCCCAGCTCGAGCGGCAGCGTCAGGCACAGCACGAACGTGCCGACGCCCGGCACCAGGTCCAGCTCTGCGTGATCAAACATTTTTTTTTTCTGGTACAATATACCGATCAAAATTAATTTGCGTAGAATATGACCGGTGTCGTTCATGTCATAGTTCTATTTCAAAGAATAAAAGAGCAATAAAAAAAAATTGACACTAAAGCAAAGGAGACATCGTAAAAAAAAAAAAAATATATATATATATATTAAAGACGCCATTGGGCGTCAACAGGGAACATATTAGGTAGAAAGAGCGAGGACACAGGGGCACTGACTTTTGGCGCGCCACATCGGCTTGATGACATCGTACTCGACCATGAAGAGGATCGCGGAGATGATGACCGCCGCCAGCGCCGCCTTGGGGATGAACTCGAAGTACTGCGTGAAGAACTGCAGAGCCAGAATTACCATTGCGCCTGAAATGGATGCAAGCCGGGCTTAAATATTTTAAAAGATACAATATTGGTGGCGGAGAGGTTAAGAGGTCGGTCCACCGGTTCGATCCGCACCTTGCACCTATGTTGTTAGATTTTCGAATTACGTATTATGCGGCGCTCTTACTGTGAAGGAAAACATCCTGATGCTATCTGTGGATATGACGAAATTTAAATATATGGATGAAAAAGTCGACGCATTGGGCCACGCCGGCCGATCAGTTACCTGAGGTCTGCAGCCACCACTGACTCGGGGTAGGCTCTGAACCTCCGGTAGGGGTACATGTATGAGCACAAATTGAGCAAACGAGTGAACTACCTGTGTAGATGCCATTGAGCGTGGTCTTGACGCCGGAGCCGTTGGAGACGACGGAGCGCGCCAGCGAGCCGCCGCCGGGGTACGCCTGCATGAAGGAGTTTCCCACGTTCACCACGCCCAGCGCTATCATCTCCTGCGTGGCGTCGATAGTGCGCCCGTCGGAGAACGCCTTGCAGATGGCGATGTCCTCAAGCAGCACGATCAGCGGGATCACCAGCACGCCCGAGCCCAGCTCGGACACCATCTCCAGGAAGTCGGCCGTCGAGTTGTCCGCACGCACGTAGCTGAAGGGCGGCAGCTGCGGCGCCGGCACGCCCGACGGGATGCTGCCTGCACGCATCTTACCGTTACCGCGCTATCCTCACACGACCCCATCTTACAAACTACATATGTTAGTTTGACAGCGATGTTATGTGCTATGTGTAGGGCTAACTGCAACTCGCCTTGCACCCCCGCGACACCCGCGCGGCTCACCACCACCCCGACTGAGAAACTTTGACCGCGCGGCACAAATCTTTTGTATAATATTGTTCAGTTAAGACGCGCCGTTTGAGGCGGATAAATCAAAGACAAGTAAATAGTTCGGCAAGGATTGGAGCGCGTATATCACCGCCAGCGAAGGCGGGAGGTGCGGGCGGTGCGGGCGGTGCGGGAGGTGCGGGCGGTGCGGGCGGTGCGGGCGGCTACACTTATGCTTCTGTTTGTACGATCTCAACTGTAACAATCACAATCACGACAGAGGCCAAACAGACTCTATCCGTTCAGCGTAACACTTCTTAGTATGATAAATGTTTTTTTTTTTTAGATAAATTCCTATAATGGTATATTATACTAAATAAATTATAACGATTTAAAGAATATAATAAATGTTAGTTAATTTTTGATGACTATGTATGGGTCTAATGGGATCGAGTCCAAGCTGCCGACTACTGCTACAACTGCTGTACTACGAGGGGGTGATCGAGGTAATGGCGATACTGACCGCCTCGCGCGTTGTCGGCTGCCGGGAGCATTAACAGAAAGCGAACATTACGTATACGGGAGGTACACAATGGACAGTAGGAGGAGGAGGAGGAGGAGAAGGAGAAGGAGGAGGAGAAACACGAACCCATGAGGCGGACGGGCGAGGCGCCGTAAGCGGCGACGAACCAGGCGCCCAGCGAGCCGGTGGCCACGACCACGATGGCGTTGCGGCAGGTGGCCAGCAGCCACAAGCACTTGTTGGCCACCTTCTGACGCGTGCTGGGCCCGCCCTCACACGTTGCACCCAGTTTTATCATTCCAATTTTCTGTGAAATATAAGAGTTTTACTTTAAAGATATTTTTCATTAAAAAAAGTATAGAAAAACTTGGTGTCAAAAAATTATTACACCACGTCAAAGTTGGAGCAAGAACCTTAGAAGAAAAAGTTTAATTATTTTATTTTTATTTTGTTCCTACGTGATTTAACAAAAAAAAGGCAAATAGGTGCTAAAGCCCAATAATTACACTTTAAAAAAAAAATACCTTTAGTTCTATTGAAAATCGCGTTACATTTTTCTTCGGGTTGGATTTAGTCGATAAATATTGAGGTCTTCAACCTCTATAAGGCTTTTGATACGTCAATTAAGAAACACGCTATTAGTAAACCGTAAGATTTGGCGGAGTTGGTGCATATTAACATATGTGGACAAGATCTCGTGGCTCACCCTCAAGCCGAGCAGCAACGCGATGCACGAGAAGCCGAGCACGGGGTCCCACAGTGCGGCGCCGTGCAGGTTGCGGAAGATGGAGATCCACTGCTGCAGAAAGGTGCTGCCGGTGACGCTGATGGCGAACAGATCCTTGACCTGCGAGGTGGCTATCATGAGCGCGACGGCGGAGGTAAAGCCAGAGGACACGGGCCCGGAGACGAAGTTGACGAGGAAACCCAGGCCGAGCACGCCCATCAGCAGCTCCACCAGGCCCGTCAGGAAGTTGAGCAGCACCGCCTTCTCGACGACGCCCCCCGCTACCTGCCAGGTGAGCAGCGAGGCGATGGCGGTGGGCCCAGCGGGCACGGCGCGGCACCCGCCTAATACGATGTATATGAAGCAGCCTAGGAAAGAGCCGTAGAGGCCGTGCTGCGGCGGTAGACCCGCGATGTTGGAGTACGCCAGCGATTGAGGGATGACGGTCAGGCCCACCGTGACGCCAGCAATCAGGTCACCGAGGGCCTTCTCCGCGTTGTACCTGCGGGCACATGGCATAAAACATAGTCGCGGTGTGTAACAAGTGGCGGGCGACAGCTAGTTATTAAAATAAAGTAGTCATAAGAGTGGGATGAGAATATACTAACTGCGGCAGCCAGGCGGTGATGGGCACGCGCTTGTGCAACGTCTTGCGGTTGAGGCGACGTCGCAGCGCCACACGCCATCCCTCGCCCGGCGCGCCCTCCGACACTGCACAGTCAAACATTGCGATGACGCGCTCGCTCACACACAGCGATCGGAGCTGCGTGTGTGCAGCGTGCGCCCCGAGAGTGGCGGTCGAGCTCACGGCTACACTCCTCGATTCGATTACCTTCCCCGATTCCTAACTACGCCGGCGCCGTCCGTAATACACCGTATTGTGTCGCGTCGAGAAAAATATAAACGGAGGTGAATCAAATAAAATTGCAGTGAAATCGTGACCTATCGGCTGTTGAAAGTACTATCGGCATACTTTTGTTTTATAGCTGAAACAGAAGTGGCCGAGGCGGTCAATAAATGAAAGAAGCGACAACGAGAACATTAGATGTAACGGTTACCACCAGGAGGGTGGAGGGGAGGGTGCGGGCGTGTTTATAACTCACATATGTAGTCGTTGCTGGCATGCTTGTCGTCGGGCGGCGGCAACGAGCCCGAGGAGGCGTTGTGTTTGCGGCGCGGGATCATCCTGCAACAAGGTGGAGGTTAGTGAGCGCTTTTAACAAATAATTTGGTGTCCTCATTTGGCAAGAATTAGTCAGCAGTAAGCAGTCAGATATCGGCCGTCGTCTGTCAAATGTTAGCTGTCGTCTGTCATCAGCCGGCACTCGCCACCAGAAATGGAAATTAATTATACGATTCTAGAGCACGCCAATATATTGTGCTCATCCGATGCGGGCTACAACTATTTTAATTATTGCAATGCACAATACAGTGCATTTCAAATAAGAATATGCACGTAGCCACGACATATTGTAACGACATAACATTCACATCGGATAAAATATTCACGGATCAAAATAGACGTTTGCGCGATCGCCCGGTTCAAAACGTTTAAACCTACTTGATGTAGGGAGTAAATCGAGACCTCCGCCACATACATAGATGTGAATGTTCCCTTATAACTACATATCTTTGAAATTTTGCGAGCGCCGCCTACTCCCGCGAACGCGAGATAAATATGTACAAGCACCAAGTTGCACCACGATGCCTGTTGTTGCGTGTGGCAGCTTCCGTTATCCTGTTTCCAAGCAGCGGAGTACACTTCGCGGCCTATAAGTAGCCACGTCAACACTCGACATCGAACGATACGTGCAGCCTTATGTTTTATTCAGAAAATTAAGACGTGCAGAATAATGAGACACCGTAACACAAACAGTTGCCCTGATCGAAAAATTTTCAAAGGTAAACAAAAACTTTATTTCTCTATTTATTAAAAAGATACACCAATTGTATGACTCGGAACACTATGATAAACAAATAACAAAAGCAGAGGACACGCAGATGACAGGCGAACACAGTTTTTACGAGAAAAGAAAATACACTATATTTAAGCAATGTATACAGCTATTTAAGCAATTTCAAGTGAAGATTAAGATATAAAAAAAAAGAAATAATTGGTTCAGTTTACAATGACATAATAGTTTATGATTTATATATAAAGGTTATGATGCCTAAATATAAATGGACAAAGTAAACAGTCGATCGGACACGTAAGTAATGAATTACTTGTGCATAACAAATAGTGTGTGAGTGAGTCAAAGTTAAGTCATGAGGGAAACATAATCCGATCCGCACTCGACACAACACAACACAACATTAGCGACGTCAGGTATTTATCGCACGCACACAGGCGGGGAGGCGCGGGGAGGCGCGGTGCGGCGCGGGCGACCACCAGAGCACGAGCAGATCACTAGCAAAGGGGATTTTAGTTCGATAATTTAGATTGAAAACATTTTATCTTTTTACAAAACACGATCGCATGAATTGTCTTTGTCCTTCAAACTGCAACTTGTTTGATACAAAGTAGCCTTACTTATTTTTTTTTAGAAAAATAAATTCTTCTCATAGTTTTAGACATTATTTGTTAGACCTTTGGCGCGAATGGTGCGCTTTTTATTGCCAAGTTATGTTAGTGTCAGAATGATTAGTGAGGGGACATAAACGTCGACGTTTTAGTAAGGCTAGTGATGCGCCAGTGCACCGACATAGTGTCGAATTTTCTTACTAACAATAGAAACCAAAGTGATAAGAAATAACTAGACACCGCTCAGCAGCAGCAGCAGTACAGAGCCGCAGTCGCGGTTGCGCTCGCGTCCTCTGAACGGTTCGCTCCCACGGCATTTCTATATAACTTTGCCTTAAACTTGAACTTTGGTTTAAACACATTTTGAAGAACCATATATTTGGTACAATTTAATTTTTTTTGTGTTTATTATATTCTTCTTGGGTAAGTAGATGGGTGTTAGGAACGACTTAGAGCGCGACATTAATATATGTATATGAAATAGCAATTCGATTGTACAAAAGCGTACTACATCCACAAGTGTAAACAAAATAATATTACGTAATGCACTTTGCCGTACGTCTGTTTGTAGCTTTTCCACAAAGGTTGTTTTTCTTTTTTAGCGCTGATTGTGACCGCTGGACTGGAATAATGTAAATCAGGCATCATGGGCGCCGTCAGCCGATGATCTAGGGTAGATCTTTCAGCTTCTATTTATATAATCTTTTTCGATATAGTTCTTATATCTAGGGGGGTGGGCTACACCTTCCTATCCCCTCTCCTGGACGACAATCATGCCAAGCATATTGTAAACGAAGCATTACTCTGTTTGCAGTAGAAAAAGCAGTGATAACAAATATAATATTATTGTACGCGTGTGTCAGGAAGTGTTAGAAGTTTCACCTGGCACCGGCTGGAAGCTAATGTTCTTGTGTTAAATATTCTACTAACTCGATGACTAATTACTGTTTTTTTAGTACCTATCCCAAAGGGTATTTTTTTAAGAAATTGATTCACTTAATAGAAGTTATTTTTGCGTTATTCCAGAACACGTAGGAGTAGGAGACGAAAGACAAAGGAGTCGAGATCGAGATGTTCGCTGGTCACGTGACGGTCCACATTCAAGCGGACTTTTTCATTTCACCGGCGAATCTCACCTCGCCTTTACATCTATTGAAGCAACACATATTAGCAGCCTCGTACCTCGCCCACCGACACCTTGAACTCGGGCGCACTTGTACCTTTTAAGTAGGATCAGACGAATCCCTTGGACGATTTGGAAGGTCGCAGGTGGGCCGCAGCGCACCAGGCTTCGGTTGGATGAAGCTGTCCGGGTAACGGGCACTCACTTGCGCTGCTGTGCTGGCGGGGCGGGACGTCAGGAGCGCATGCCGGGCTGCTGCTTGAGGGTGCTCGGAGTTTGTGCAATCTTGACGGCGATCGGTGTTACTGCGCTGAAGCGCGATGCGCGATGAACGGCGTGCAAGCAAAATACGTCCAAACGCCGACGCGGCCCGCGCGCTACTGCCGCTTGCCGGCTGCCGTTGCCTCCGCCACCCTCTACCGAGCGAGCTGCCGGGCCGCCGGCGGCGAGCCGGGCACGCGCGAGATGCGTCGCGGAGGCTGCGCACCTCCCCGCTCCAGCCTGCATATGACGTCATGATCGGCGGGATGCGCGACGGGCGACACCCAATAGCAAAAACGTTGTGACGTTTTATTACTTACCAATCGATGAATGATTCCGTTCAACTCATAGTCATATATAACATATAAAAAGTATTCCGAAGCAAAAGATTGGGGAAAATGCAACTTGTATGGAACACTGCATCAATAGTTACTATACTATATCTATTCAAATTGAAAATTCTTTATTAGCGGCCAACAGAAATCTGTGCATGCATATGCACATAGAGCACCAACAACTTAACATACAAATAAAAAATAACGCGCAAAATGTTTTTTTTGTCATGATCATGTGACATGAAATGCTCTTCTTGAGCAAGACAAAGGAGCCGTTGGCTCAGTTTGCTAACACAATATTTCGGTATTTAATTAGGGATTTATAAATCAATTTATATAATCAAAGGCACATCATGAGTTTATAATCTTTAATTTACATAAATATACATTCATACATATAAGTTATAACATCTCGCCGTCTTGTCTCAACTGAGTGACATCTCATTAGTCTATAATCTACAACACAAAACGACATTTCGAAAATAGGCTCTCGATAAGATTCAAGAAGTCTGTCTATACGTCACTAAGTAATGGCGACGTGGCGACGTGGCGGAGTTGCAGCTGGCAGCAGCGGCGGCGCCTACCTGCGTCCCGCGCACATTGTTCTCGCTTACCCTCAGTGCTGCGGAAACGCAGTTGTATGTATGCCATTTTTTCCAAACATTCTCTTTTGAACACAACACGACGTCAAATGAATCACCGACCGGTTTTACCGAGCCAATAAAAAATAACAAAGGAGTGTAAAACGGTCTTGGATTTATTTAGATTTGTCAATTTTTTGTTCGCGTGAATTAATATTCTCGCGCGAGTCGGCGCGGCGGCGGCGCGGCGGCGACGACGAGGCTTCAATACATTAGTCGCACTAAACACTGACCGTAGATATTCAATTCGTATATTGCCAAAACACTGTTAAGAACAAAAACATATTTAGCCGGAACAAACGCGGCTTGCGGACAGCGATGCAGACAAACAATTATTTAAATTAAATAGTTTTTCGGTAACGCAAACAACACGTACACAAAATATGATTATTTTTTTTCAATTCAATACACTCAAACGTTTCTTGACGTTTACATAAAAGTAAAACAAGGGAACTAGCCATGATTCGTATCGTAAGCTACAAAGTATAATTAATAGATAATTAAATAACCGGAGCGGAGGTCGTTTAGTTGGCTAAGTTTAGTATAAGGGATTTATTTACGCCGGCTGTGTGGGGACTGGTCAGTTTTTAATATTTGTAATAAACCATCGCTTGCTCCCACCTTATGATAAATGTTGATGTGATCGAAAGATGGTACGCGCTAGCTCAGTAAACGCCTGTTATTCACTCTACTCTTAATCATACTTGAACGGCCAACCCTGCCGCCAGCAACATGTTCCACTCGTTTACCCACACACAACGAACGAGGATTCAGGACATGTTAGGACGTCGACTCTGAAAGGACGGACACCTGCCGTATATCTAAATTTCCGATGGTGTATGCGCCAGTGCTCAAGGCTAACTAAATTTAGATATTGGTCACCTATCTTTTTGACCCGCCTCTCATTCGAATCTTGAGCCGCCAGTTGGTAGTTGTCTGCGCATTCCTAGATAACACAACAACCCACTCGGCCGTATCTTTGCTTTGTGTAAAGCAAAAGCTGTCATGTAAAATACCTTTGGAAGAACTCCAAGCTTCCTAATCCCTACCTTCACCTTAAATTTGATGAAACGCCCTTAGTTAAGATTCGCATACTGTGCTGACTTATGTATGTGTATAGGGTATATCCCGCTGAGCGGAGCACAATTCAAATGCATACCTAAATATTTAACAATATCTAACACCTGTACATAGTAAATAAATCACGCTGCGCCTCTTGTTCATCTGAGGAAGTCAGTAGTCATCAGTAAAATGGCGCGCGGCGGTCTCGGAGCGGTGGCATTGAAAGCGGCCTTCACCAGGACTGCTTTGCGGTTAATCAATTGTATAATTATTAAATTAAACTGTTTACGGTTCTGAAAACAGTTTATAATTCGCGCTATCTTCGATAGCTATTATAATTTTCCTTGAAATTGTACTTAGCTAGAGCGCAATATTGTTAATAGATATAACAATGTTTAATAAAATGATTTCAATAAACACAACAGCAGGAGCGGCGGCGACGCGTTCTCCTTTTCACTCGGTACAGTAGTTTTCTTTAATTTAGAATGAACAATACAACATTTGTAATAACGCGGGCCCGTTAGTTAGTTGGTTGAGATCGTCTCATAAAAAACAGATATACTGATATTAATTATAAAAAGATTCATGTAATTTCCTACATATTGTTTTGAGTTATATACGATGTAACTTCAAAACGAGCAAATGGATCGGGATACATAGTTTACCTAATTGTTAAGAATGCAGTTATGAAGTAAGTACTATAATTGATTGAAAGCTATTTGAGAAATCAGTCGCACTACTTTACCTATTTTAGGGTAAATCTATGGTGAGCGGTGGGGAGCGGTGGTGAGCGGTGGGGAGCGGTGGGGAGCGGACACATGGCTCAGCGCCGCGCTGCGCACGCGGCATTCGCGAGCGCATGGCGGCGGAGGAGCCTGCGGAGGAGGGGAGCAGTCATGTGACTGGCGACCCACTCGACCACTTTTATTTTCCCGTTGCGGCACGTGGTGTCTCCCCGCTGGCCCCCGCCCCGCTCGACCCCCTGCCCACGTTTCGAGAAAACCAGTTTGTTTATGCAAGCTGACAAGATGTGCAGCGCACGTCGCAACGCCGCAAAATGATTAGGGTAAAAAACATTGATTCTAGAAGTACATATATGTAAGGTAGATAAAATGAATTAAATTGTTTACATTATTTTTAGTGTAAGCTAATTATTTAAAAAAGCAGGAAGCACGATTTACATTGTGATACTAAATATGTACAACAATATTTTAATATATATTAGTTAGCGTTAGCCTATGATATAGGTACTACGAGTACATTAAGTATTCGGTATGGAAATGTTTCCACACTACACACAACTTGACTTCACTTCAGGCACTTCAATGTCATTTATCTGTAAGGATTGTTATACATAGTAAGTATAGCGTGGCAAGGGAGCATTAGAGACGCAATAATCACTGCAAACAATCAACAATGAGAACGAAATCGCCGCGTTCAGATAAACCACAGGGCAACATGTTATGTGTGTGTGACATACAATAGTACATACAATAAAATATGTATATGAACATTCAGCAAAACAATAAGATAAACCTAATCATCATTTGTTCTATTTATCTTTAAGAAATAATCAATAAACATTTGTAATGTTGTCGATAAGCATGTGTGTGTTATTTTTGTTAGCATTACATTTCTGTTTAGTCAATTTGTTGTAAGGTGTTCCGTCCCAACAGATCTCTATATACAAACAGAATTCATATCGTCAACATTTGTGTAATATCATCTTAATCTAATCTATTCTATCGTGCACTTTACATGACACGATTGACACTTGTTACCATTCTCAAATATTTACTGTGCATTGTGTGGCTTTATGCTGTCATATAAGATTTGAACGACAATGGACTACACTAATGTACTTACAAACATATCTCTAGGTCTACGTCATTTCCTTATCCAATATGAATAATAATAAATATTTCCGTGTACCGTGTTTTCTGCTAAAGCCGTCCAAAACACGCAACGATATCCTGCATTATGACCGTCCTGCAGGAATGCGTCCTAAAGGTACATAAGTACTTACTGAGGTCGCCACTTATCCTGAAAGCAACTTCCAATTGCTGATCGCTGGCGTGAGCATTCTTTTTGCCCTGCTTGGCCGCGGCGTCGGCAGCGGGCGGCGAAAGTCCTCCAATGAAGTGGAGTCCACGGCCCATCAGAGTGTCGCCTGTAAACTATGTTGCTACTTGTCCTAACACTTTTATACAGCACACATATAAACACCGCCGTGTGTTCTGCCGCGCTCAAATATGCGTTGTCGAGGATACCCGCGATCGGGAAGTCCCGCGAGGCGGAAAGTCTGCGCTGTGAAATGCGCGCGCGCGGTCACATGGCCCAGCTCCAAACAAAAACCCATAAAAGCAATAGTCGACATTCAAACATACTATTACACCTTTTTAATTTTAGTTTGTTTAGTGCAAATAATTGCAAAATAATCTTATAAGTAGCATAAAAATATTATAAGCAGGTAAAATCACATGCAATTTGGTAAAGAAGTACGAAAAACTTCAATTGCAGTCACAAATTAAGCAGTTATGTAAAAAACCTTTAAGTATATATTATACTAAGAAGTATATAGAAATAAACTAAACTTTTATTATTCGTTTGTAGATTCAAATGAAACATTCGACCGACAACGCCGCGCCGCGCCCTTGCCGTCCGCCCCTGCCTGCCTCCCCATCACATAACATTTCCTTCTCCAGTTCAGTTTCTTTTTTCAGTAACATTGACAAAAATAATTTATTTATTTATAACGATCTTTTGAGAGAGCCGTTTTTAGGCGATATGCATTTACTGTTACATGTTACACTTGATCGGTTTCCCCTTCAAATGTTTGAAAAAAAATGTCGATAAACTTATACCTTTTTGTATGGGATGGATTCACGAATTGAAAAATCTTTTAAGCTATATAAGGAAATTCAGTTGCTCAGTAAAATTTTGGCTCGCGGACGAAAACGAAAGCGTGCCTGTGGTCCCGTCCTGATGCGTTAGAGGAACAGAGAGGTTTAGTGGGTATGCCTCCGATAAGGAGGAGAATCCCACATAACTACCGCGTCCCCCCCGAGGCGCGGAGTATACATAAAGCATTCCTCTCTGGAAAAAATTAAAGGTTTGAGAAGTGCGGGGTACCGAGTGCGGCGGGCGAGC